GGTACACTCACTGTATCTCACCACACACTGTACCATACCACTCACTGTATCTCACCACACACTGTACCATACCACTCACTGTATCTCACCACACACTGTACCATACCACTCACTGTATCTCACCACACACTGTACCATACCACTCACTGTACCTCAACACACACTATACCTCACCGCGCACTGTACCATACCACTCACTGTATCTCACCACACACTGTACCATACCACTCATTGTATCTCACCACACACTGTACCATACCACTCACTGTATCTCACCACGCACTGTACCTCACCACTCACTGTATCTCACCACTCACTGTACCTCACCACACTATACCTCACCACTCACTGTACCTCAACACACACTGTGCCTCACCGCGCACTGTACCTCACCACACACTGTACCTCACCACACAATGTACATCACCATTTACTGTACCTCACCACTCACTGTACCTCACCATTTACTGTACCTCACCACTCACTGTACATCACTCACTGTACCTCACCATTTACTGTACCTCACCACTCACTGTACATCACTCACTGTACCTCACCACTCACTGTGCCTCACCACACTATACCTCACTACTCACTGTACCTCACCACACAATGTACCTCATCACTCACTGTACTTCACTCACTATACCTCACCACTCACTGTACCTCACCACTCACTGTACCTCACCACACACGGTATCTTACCACACAATGTACCTCGCCACACACTGTACCTCACCACATAGTGTACCTCACCACTCGCTGTACCTCACCACTCACTGTACCTCACCACACACTGTACCTCGCCACTCACTGCATCTCACCACTCACTCTACCTCACCACTTACTATACCTCACCATTCACTGTACCTCACCACTCACTGTACCTCACCACTCACTGTACCTCACCACTCACTGTACCTCACCACTCACTGTATCTGACCACAGACTGTGCCTCACCACTCACTGTGCTTTGCAATTCATTGTATCTCACTACCCACTGTGCCTCACCACATACTGCCCATCACCACTCACTGTACCTCACCACTCACTGTATCTCACCTCACCACTCACTGTATCTCACAGCTCACTGTATCTCACCACACACTGTACCTCACCACTCACTGTACCTCACCACACACTGTACCTCACTACACACTATCTCACCACACTGTACCTCACCACTCACTGTATCTCACAACTCACTATACGTCCCCACTCACTGCACCTCACCACTCACTGTATCTCACGACTCGCTATACGTCCCCACTCACTGTACCTCACCACTCACTGTAACACAAAGGGACCCACAAATTCAAGTCACGACCCTAGTCAATATCGCCTCGCTACCAGGATGAGTGAGAGAGAGAGAGAGAGAGGGAGGGGGAGGTAGGTTGGTAAGGGAAGGTGGGTCTAATTTTCAAATTTGGGCCGTGGTAACCATCTTACATGATCCTTGTGCCTCTGGTGTCACTCTATTGTGGAGATTTAGTGGTCAACCCTAAATCGTATCTGATCGCCCTGAACAGCCGTTCTAAACACCAGGAAACATAAAAAGGGACTGTAGAGAACAACAGATCACTTAGGAGAACGCAAGAGTACAGCAGAGAACACCAAATCTCTGGCAAACTAGAGGTTTGTCAAAAAATGCTTGGAACCATAGTAAATCGTCGAACACACACGACACCAAAGAACACAGAGCACACCACAGAACACTCAGCACACCAAAGAACACACAGCACACCAGAAAACACACTCAGCACACCACAGAACACACAACCCGTAAGATAACTAACACAGCACACCAAAGAGCTCACAGAACACATAGGACACCACAGAACACAAAGCACGCCATATAACTCCTTAAGGACCCTAGCCCTTTAATGGTGGGGCTGTCTAAGAATCAAGTGATAAGTTTAACTGCACTCCTATAATCTTACTCTGACATATTTTTAGATGTCCCTAAAAAAGTACACTAGGATATCACGATGTTGATGTTGGAAACTCTAAACCTATTAAACTCTTCCCCTACAGAGCTAATCCTGAAAAATAGAGGCTACTTCAGCAGGCAGTAGCATTTCTGTTAGAACACAGGTTAGTGAAGGAGTCATCTAGTCTGTGGGTTTCACCATGTGTCCTTGTTAAGACGTCTGCTGGAGGTTTTTGAATGTGTATAGACTACCATAAGGTGAATGGAGTCACTATTCCAGATGCTTTCTCTCTGTCACGTTTGGATGATGTAGTTGATTTTGTGGGTAAGGCTACCTTTGTAACAAAACTTGACTTCCTTAAAGGTACCTTTTACGGATAAGGTGAAGGAAATCTCTGCCTTCATAATTCCAGGAGGTCATTATCAATATACAGTAACTCCCTTTGGGATGCGGAACTCGCCGGCATCGTTCCAAAAACTGATCCATCAGAACTTAAAGGCACGGCAGCTTACCTAGATGATACTGTAGTGGTGTCCAATACTTGGGACCAACATATATTCGGACTTAAAGCTCTCTTGGAGAAATTTCAGTTTCCAATTAACTGTTAATTTATGTAAGTCATCCTTTGGCCAGTCTACTGCTATTTTTTTCTGGGCCACGAAGTACATAGTGGTAAAGTGGCCACTAAATTTGCTAAAATTCTTGCAATTAAAATTTATCCAGTACCTCATGACAGGAAATCCCTTCAACGTTTCTTAGGGATGGTAGGGTTTTATAGACGATTCTATAAGAACTCTGCAGATGTTGTAGCCACCCTAACCTCACTTACCAGTCACATAACTCCCTTTCAATGGACCCCAGGGTGGCACGAATCTTTTAACAAAGCCAAACGGCCACTTTGTACTGCACCCGTTCTTCTGCCCCCTGATTTTTCGAAACCCTTTACATTGCAGGTTGATGTTTGTGAGTCAGGGGTAGGGACAGTACTTCTACAAGAAGCTGGGGAAGAATGTTTGCAGCCTGTAGCTTACTTCTTGGCCAAGCATCAAACTCATCAGAGGGCCTACTCCACAACTGAAGAAGCCCTCGCTCTGATACTGACATTAAAACATTTCAAGGTCTATGTGGGGCAGTAGTCCCAAGTGGTCATATTCTACAGTGACCATAACCCTCTCACTTAGCTCCACGAAGAACCACAACACACGCCTTGTGCGTTGGAGTCTCAGGTTGCAACCATATAATATAAATATTGTACATACTGCTGGCAAGGATAAGCTGGCTGATTCTCTTTCACGTATTTAAAGTTAGGATGTGTTAGGTTAGTATGTGTTAGGGATTATATGGGTAGCCTAGCTCTTTTCTCCCCCCTTTTTTGTATATATATACAATGTTTAATGGTGGTGGGGGTTTAGTGAGAGGATATTCTGCTACCGTCTCCAGGTGTCTTGAACCTACGTTAGTCCTACTGTCCACTGTCTCGCTCTAATTTAGAGTTTGACTTTATGTCTCGAGAAAAAGCTGAGCTCTATCTAATGACTTGAATGGTTGAAAGGAAAGGCGGTTCTATTATTGTTAAGTGCCATGGCGGCACGCTACCCATGGAGGTGGAGCCTAGTTCTGGCCATTAGAGCCCTTTTGGGGTGGGGGTGTTACATGCAAATAGTACATTACACTTTATTCCGCGTATGTACACACTCCCATATAGGCTGCCTTCCAACCAGCAAACCAGGTGCTAAGGGTTTAACGATCTTTTGGAACTTCATCGTTAAATCAGTACCTTGGTTCATTAACCAATCACAGACGAGCCTGCCAAGAGCTGAGACGATGTGGTGTCGCTCGTGCTCAACATTTGCCAGACTCGCCTCTAGCTGGTTGAAGCACAGTACTCTCTCTCAGGCTGCTGTCTTTGCCTCTATCACTGTGTGGTACACTTATACTCCATTCTTGTACATTGTGTACAATAGTGTACATATCTGTATATAAATATTTGGTGAAGGAAAATACAGGTTAAATATTCTGCTGAGTTTTTGTTCCAACCCATTACGACTAGGTCAACAGGACATTATTATCTGTGTTCGTAATACACAGCACACCACAGAACATAGAGCACACCACAGAACATAGAGCACACCACAGAACATGCAGCACACCACAGAACATACAGCACACCACAGAACATGCAGCACACCACAGAACATACAGCACACCACAGAACATGCAGCACACCACAGAACATACAGCACACCACAGAACATACAGCACACCACAGAACATACAGCACACCACAGAACATGCAGCACACCACAGAACATGCAGCACACCACAGAACATGCAGCACACCACAGAACATGCAGCACACCACAGAACATACAGCACACCACAGAACATGCAGCACACCACAGAACATACAGCACACCACAGAACATACAGCACACCACAGAACATACAGCACCACCACAGAACATACAGCACACCACAGAACATACAGCACACCACAGAACATACAGCACACCAGATAACACACACCACACAGAAAACAGCACACCAGAGAAACACACATCACGCCAGATAACTAACACACAGCACACCAAGGAAACATAGAACACCACAGAACACACAGTACAACACAGAACACAGCATGCCTCAGAACACATAACATACCACAGAACACACCACAGAACACACAGCACACCACAGAACACAGCACAACCACAGTACACACAGTACACCACAGAGCACTCAGCAACACGCAGCACACCACAGAACACAGCTCACCACAGAACACAGAACATACAGCACACCACACAACAAACACACCACACAACAAACTGCAGAACACAGCACACAGAGCAAAAAGCACACCACAGAATACACAGAACACCACAGAACAAACATCACACCATAGAAAACACAGCACACAGAACAAAAAGAACACAGAACACCACAGAACACACAGCACACCACAGAACACACATTACACCGAGTAACATACAACACACAAGTGAAGCGTACACCAAAATAACGCACAGAAGACACAGAACACCGTAAAATCACAGAGAGAACACTCACCGTAACGGAGAACTTGTGGCTAGGTTTAATATTGATAGGCGTGTTCCGCTCAGTGGGAACATAACGGTAGAACTCGGTACCATTGTGGTACCACTTGAGGGAGTAGAGTCTGGTTGACCTCAGGTCATAGGAACAGGTCAGATTAGCTTGACCTCCAGCGAAGGCGAACTGGGGGACGTCCACCCCCCGGAGCAGGTCCCCAGCTGCAC